GAAAAAGGGGAAGGGGAAGGGGAAGGGGAAGGGGAAGGGGCAATCCAATTCTTACAAATAAGAATAAACAATCACTTAAATTGTTTTCTGACTTATTACCTTTTTTCTGATGCCATTTTTAATTTATTCATTCTGGAGAGATTTTTGCTTTATCTCAAAAAAGATCAGTTGTTCATATCAACATATCTGAAAAAGAAGAGAGAGAATACACGTATATTCACACAGACTATTTGGCATATGAAACTGTTATAGTAAGTATACCTTATTAATAAGAAATGTGAAAATTGGGCTAAGAAAATACGATAGATGTCACATAATTTGCAGACAAATCTCTAAAAATTGTCAACTGGGTTAAAAGGGCTTTAGAAATACAGATTAGGGCTGCAATATCAGTTATGCTTAATTAGTGATTTTGCTACAATTATTATAGCTGGTTAGGAAAAAAGCAGAAGGAATGCAAAAATTCCCAAACTGGGAACTGCATATGAGCACTTGTTTTTTTCATATAACATGCACATACATCCATTCTCTATTGGCAAGAAACCAGCAATCTGGGCTCACTAGCTGGCTGATTAGACTCCTTTCTATTCCATGGTTTGTATCCTTTGTAGCCAAGGACTCTTTGTAACTCAAAGCCACATATTGCTTACCCGTGACTTGTGCAGAAATGGTCACCAAAGCACAATGTAAAATAAATAAATGAAAAATGAAATATTGAGTAAAAGGAGATTACTGGTTCTCTTGCAAATATAAAAGTTTGAGCAGCCTGTAAATTCATACAAATCCCTAAGGGAAAAAAATGGTTTAGCTTCAAGATTTCACAAAATTTATTTTTAAACAGAATTTCAGAACTGACAAAATTCTTTAGGAGAATGTCACATGAAACTGGCCAGCCTTAAAGAAGATACCGGATGCTAACTTAACCCAGTCAAAATAAAGTATTAATAATTCTGTATACAAAGAGTTAAAATTCTAGAACTGCCAAGTTCTGTTTTCAGAACATTTCTGAAGGAGACTAAATCTTCGTAAACATGAATACTTTTTACATATGTTAATGGATGCCAATATAATCTTAAAAATTTATTTTTACAAGAACATTATGCTTTCCTTTCACAATCACAACTATATTTTTACTCAACAAAATATTTGCTCATAACTCTGATTTGAAACTATTTTGAAAATTATTTCAAATCAAAGATCAAACTGTTCTTTTGTTGCATATATGCCATTTCTGAAATTTCACTAGGGTTACTGTAACAAATTAGAACAATCAAGGAAATGTCTTCCTTATGTACCATGTTATCTTATGACTGGACAAATGGCTGACTGAAAATGAATCCTTGACACAGAATTGAAATTATTTTTTCAATTAGCTATTACTATTTATTGATTTTATAATTTCTTTGATTGTTGTAAGCCACCCAGAGAAGCTGAGAGTCAGGTGGCATATAAGTTTAATATTCCTCCTCTCCTCTCCCTCCTCCTCCTCTTTTTTTAGCTATTCTAGACAGCTTCCTTCTGTCAATAAAACTGGAGTGTAGAAACTAAGAGTAAAATGGTTCTGGACAGTTAAACTATCAAACATATTTATATGCTGAAGAGGATATTGAGATCTTGGCATCTCTATTTAAAGTAAATTAACTTGGAGGAGTAAAATAGACTTTCAAGATTTATTGCCAGGAATACATAACTCTACACTAGATGTATTGATGGTCTGAGTGGTTCAGGATCAGGCTGTTCTGCTGGTAAGGAGTTCAGGAACAGTAAAAGCATACAAGCAACAAACTTTTTAAATATTCCATCTCATTAAAATAAAATCACCCTAATTTGGGGGCTATTTTCAATAAACTAGAATTTTTCCAGGTACATAAGCTTATTGTTTCCATTACAGGTAGTCCTCACTTACCAACCGCAATAGGGACTGGCAACTCCATCGCTAAGTGGCGCAGTCATTAAGCACAATGTCATGTGACAATTACTGCAACTTCCTGCCAGCTTCCCCATTGACTTTGCTTGTTAGAAGCCAGCTGTGAAGGCTGCAATTGGCGGTCACATGACTGCAGGACATTGTGACAGCTGCAACTTTGAGGATCAGTCATAAGTCTCATTTTTCAGTGCCATCATAACTTCGGTCGCTTAACAAGTGGTTGATAAGCAAGGACTACCTGAACAGCCTTCACGGAAATATCTTGCAGGACAAAACTGACCGGTGTAAACAGGATCATGCACACAACATGCACCACCAATATACTTACAAGAAGGTGGCAATTCAATATTATCATATAACTTCAATACAGTTTTTTAATGCATTGAAATTTCAGCCTCAAATATTAAAACTACAGTTTCCATACTGACTCAAAATCAAAATGCTAAGATGTTATTCTCAGCTAGAGATTTTCCTTAAATAGTTGTATCTGACTATTAACTAATGAAATATTATTCTAAGATTTAGAATACTGTACTTTGGGATAAACATGTTTATAGAAGTAAAAATGGCAGTTTCTTAACTTTGTTCAGTAAAGATGCATTTGCATTTCTAATTTTTCCCCACTTCATTATGTGGCCTAATCATTTCCTACCAGGATGAAACAAGCTCACAAAACACCAGGTCTTGTGATTTTAGATTACATTGGTATATGAAATGCAAATAGCCCTAATAAGGCACTCCTAAATACCTTCAACCCATACTTTTTTGAACAATACAATGGGAATATTCCCCTTAGCCAGTCCAGTTATTCTCATTCCTTCTCTTCTTCTTAGACATTTTCTAGTTCAAAACATGAGAATGAATATTTCAACAGATACCAGTATCTATTCATGCTTTTCTGCCTTAACAGTATTTCCAGACAACACTTTTATTGTGCAATTACCCAGCTTTGATTTAGGAGGTGAGGGAGTCCAGACAGATTTTCTTCTTATAACCATCGTGTACCTTTTCAAAAATTCTTCTCACTAACAACCACTCCCCTCTGGAAGCATCTTACAGTGTTCCACATCCTTCTTACACTATAATACCAGAGATCTTATACTCGATAATATTGTATTATTGAAAACATAGTTTGGATAATGCTGCAATTTCTTATATCTAAGAGATGTCTGCTCCTTTTGAAAAGGGTATCCCTTCCATAATCATGGACCTATTTTTTTTTTCTTTTTGTACTTTGATTCAGTCTTGACTCCTGAAGAATGCCTAGACAAATCCATTCCATTTTCTTGGCAACATTTTTGGAAGTGGTTTGCCATTGCCTTCTTATGACTGAGAAAGAGTGACTGGCCCAAAGTTACCCAACGGACTTTGTGTCAAAAGTAGAACTAGAATTCCGGGTCTCCTGGTTTCTAGCCTGATGCTTTAACCACTATACCAAACTGGTTCTCCATATACCAAATACAGATGTCAAAATAGAAGGCTATCCTTTTACTGAAAATATATTGTTAGAAAAATTAATCCTGTTTTGTTCTATGGGAAATGCTTTCCCACTTCATAAATGTTGTTATACTTCTTAGAGTAATGTACATAATCAAATGTGCATCCCCATGCAATGGCTCTCAGTGTAACTACCACATAAGAAAACTCATGAAAAAAGGCGTTAATTTCATGAGTTTTCTCATGTAGTAGTTACACTGACTAGAGATAAAGTTTCAGCAGCGTATCTGAATTAAGCCACAGAAAACCAGTATTCATACAGAAAAGTGATTTTCTATTTCTAGTTAGCTCACAGATGAGGAAAAAAATGAAGGGCGTAAATATTTCCTAGAAAGCATTATTAAAATCAAGTGTCATTATCTCAGCCAAACATTCCTATACCAGGGATAAGCAAGCTGTCAGTGTTATGATTAAATTCATACAGCACAATTGTGTTTGTGTCTCTTCAGAAGTGAGCCCCACTAAGGATAGCGAGGTATACATCTGGATATTGGATTACAGCCTCGGACTTTGCATTTTCTCTACTACTCTTTTAAAGAATCTGAAACTATTTAAATAATAGATATAAAATATTATTCAATAATTACTCCAGACAAACTTCACTGCTAAAATAGTTCTAAAGCTATTCCATAAGCTCATCCTTTTGTCCAACAGAGGGAAGAGATGCTCTATAACTTGTAACAGGCATTCACTTGTTATCATAGGTTTATTTTTGTCAAGTGATAAAATAAACTGTGGACAGAATTTTAAATATTTCAGTTTGTATATTAGTCCCTTGAGAGCCATTTTAATGTAGTAGTTAAAGGAACCAGACTAGAAACTGAGAGACTATGAGTTCTACTCCCACATGAAGCCAGCTGGGTGACTTTGGGTCAGTCACTTGTGAGACTAGGCTGAAGCTGCCATAACCTAAAGATGAAGCAGGCAGGTAAGCAGAGAGGACAAAAGCCAGGAAACCTAT